TGCTTCATATAGCTCTAATACAAAGGCAATATGAGAGCTAGCAGTTTCAGTCCTTTTGACCCTCATAAGAGTGAGATAAAGATTTCATGAGAAGAAAGAGAGCTTCAGTATTTTGAAGTGACTTTCACAGATTTTTTGACTATCATCTTGTTCTTCTCTCTGCAGTTCATTCTTTATCTGTACCATAAAAATCACTTTCTCTCCTCTGGAGAGATTTTCCCTATCCCATGCCCTCTCTACTCTCAGTTTCTCTGACCCTCTTTTTACCTTTCTTTTCACACGGTACAAAATTTGGGTTGTTTTCAAACAAATCTGAACTTTTACTTTGTTCTGATTTTATTTGTGGCCTGAAAAACAAAGCACATTAACTTGAAACAGACACTAAGTTGCCTATGGGGGTAACTTGTAAAGTACTGATGCTTGGAAAGTTCCCAAAAGAAAACAAAGCCCAGCAGTCTTGCCTTGTTTGTAGAGCTGATGGAGATCATTGACTCCTAAACCTTTGCCATCTCCTTCCAACCAGCCTCCTAAAATAACAAATATAGGGGCTATGTCAAACAGTTATGGTCTTCTGAATCATGAGCCAGACGTAAGAGTGACATTTAGACTGTTCCTGCACATAAACATCGGTAGCTCCATTTTGGGACAGTTCTGTCATGCACAGCAAAGCAGTGCGGATTTACTTCCACTAAGAATCTGGCCTCACGTCCCACAGTGAGCAATGGAAATGATGGATCTGGAAAACAAAGCTGACACCATGTGCATGAAGAACCTCTGATTATTTTTTATTGTTATTATTGTTTCTTGATGATACACCAGGCACTGAACTAGTAGCATACTCATTTCACGTGCCTGAAATTTAATTTAGAAAGTGAAGCTGATGGAACAGGCAAAGGGACCTGAGATTGGGCTAAGGCAAAGAGTGCGATTTCATAGTTGTGATATACCCACAATTCAGTATCTCGGGTCAGTTATGTTTTGAGTCAGCCTGTGAAGCAAATGCAAGTCAGACGCTCAATAATGTTCCCTACCATAAGGCACTGGGCAGCTCAGTGTAAACCATATCCCCTCTGGTGGATGCCAGGCATTCAAAGGTGCTTCTGATTGATTTGCATTTGAAGGAATACATGGTGAAAGTGTATTGCATATTAGATTAGTCTTGGAATCTGTCACATAAATTAGCAGTGATCTTGATTGCAAAATACTCTTATTGTTTATTTCTCCTGCATGCTTACCTCAGACATATTTGTTCATATTTGTTTGGCTTTCCTTATCATTCCTTACTCCCATCCCCGTTTTACTTTCTTATACTTACTTGGGACACCATAAAAAATGTAGTTTACCTATATAGATATGATAGATAGATATAGATATGACTGTTCATCTAAAGAAAATAACTTTTAATAGTCATATAAAAAGAAGTGCTTTATTATTTTTCACTTGCTGTATAGAGTGAATGACATCAGTAAGAAATGGGCCACTGAACACTGAATTTCTCTCTCTTGCAGTAGCATAGCCCTCTGGAGTGATTCCAAAGCAGGCAGTGGTTGTACATTGTTGTAACACTGATGGGTGAAGTGAGACACCAGCCCAGTGAATTTCCTATCACAGCACCCTCTATGCAAATGTTTGTTGTGCATTTACTGCTCTCAGCATTTCTTTCTCAGGCCCCAGATACGTAGAGTTACTGAAGTCATCTAGGTAATAACTTGAAAGAAAATAGACTCTGAATGAAAGATTTTGAAACTGCAATCATCTCTTGAAAGAGGGAGTGAAATCAGGGATGGGTAACAGATGGTGATGGTGGCTAATCTTTCAGCCTATTATTTTACCATATGGGGGTCTATGCCACAGACTTTCATGCTGAAAATAAAACAGAAATTAATCATTGTGTGACAATATATTATTTAAATAACTCTGTTGCAGTGATATTTGCCTCCGTCTAGAAGCCATATGCAAACGTATGTGCTCCAAAATGAGATACAGCTGCATGTAGGCTGCTTTTGTGGTGACAGACATCATATGACTTCAGAGGAAAAATTGCTACACCACTTAGTTTACACAGAGAAAATGAATTTTCTGGCCATGCTAAGGAGACTGTGAAAGGAAACCCACATAGAAACACCCGATGGATTCTAATAGGAAATGATAACTTCTCTATGGAATTGAATAGAGAATTACATCACATGCATAGGAGTCTATAGGGTGGTTAAAAAGAGAAATGACTTCATTATGCGGACAGCCTCTCAGCTGGTCTATCTCCATTGGAGGCAAGAGTGCTCTGATGGCTGTTTTCAGCCGAGACACCTCCTTTTTGAGCCTTTGCTTCTAGCCAACTGTAGTAAATGCCTGTAGTATTATGTTTAAATCCTGTTATCCTTCATAAGTCTCTTCTACAAGAAAAATACTCTGAAGCTAGTTGTATATTTTCTGTTTCTTTTGTAAATTATTCTTTAAAATGCTATTAAGGTAAGATCAGTTCTCCAGTGACAAAACAGAATGTATGTATTAAATTTCTGTTTTATTTTCCTGGTAGCTAATTTGTCTGTGCTTATATGTGATAAGGAAAAAGGCCAGCTCCCAAATGTTTCTGGCTCCTTCTGACTATCAGAGTGTGTTCCAGCACTCATTCAAGCTTAACTCAGTTTCACATAGGATAAAATCAATTTTAAAAACAAATTCTGGACAATATAGGTTCAGGTGTTGTAGAATCACTACAGAGAAGATAGACTCAAGATGAATCATTTATTTTGCTCCACATCTCGTGATCCAAACACGCAGGCAAAAACTCTTAAGAAGAGATCAGGAATCAGTGTATCTATCCTCTCGCTAAGTGATCTGACCTTTTAGTTGACTGAGGCACAGAAAACTGTGCTTAAGACAGAAGATAAAATTGGCCAAAACATGTTACTAATATATAGCAGTTTGATATCAACTGCAGCCAGGAAGTATTCATTTTAGTTTTTGCTTCAGGCATTCTTGCTCTCTTAACCAGCTGTTTGCCTCTTACCCACTAACGTGTTAATACTATAGTTCTTTATGGTTGGTATTGCTGTCCCAAAGTTCAGTGAACAGAAGGAAATGCATGAATAAAAAAAAGGGCATTCCTGTCCTCCAGTCCCAATTTATATGTTTGCTGAGAAGCTTAATCTCTTTCATGGTTTATTCGTATTCTAGTTACACTGATTTTGTGTATAAAAAGAAGGCAGTTTTTGCACTGTATTCTGAAAACACAACTCAGGTCTGTAACATGAGTTAGGGCCACAGCTATGCTGCATGAGAATTTGAGTTCCCATTTTCAGTTTGGTCTCAGCTTAACTGTGGATAATGTGCTGAAATGCCATGGTCTGTTTGTTAGATCTTGCCAGTAGCAGACTCAAAACTGTACTGGAGTATAAATAATTGTCATTAGCGTTTTGAAAGTGCATCATTATTTAGTGGAGTTGGAGCAAAAGGAAGGTAGAGTTCAAAAATTAGCTAAGGATGTTTGAGAGGCTGAAGCAGAGGTAAAGGTTACAGATTTGAACATAAACTTTGTTACTTCCAAAAATTGTTTCTTACCTCTCCTTCTATTCTTCCATCTATCCCTCCAGCAAAATGGCAGACACTTTCTACCCTAAAACTGTGAGAAGGAAATGTGGGAGAAAGTCCAAAGAATACAAGTCATAATGTACAAAAAATGAATTAATCCTTGTGAAATGATTGTTCAAATTAACCTAATGTTGTGGTTAGTAGTTAAAACAGCCATGGCCATGCCCTCTTCTCATTTAACTTTCTTTTAATGCTGATCCCTGTGTGACCCAGTGTGTTTGATCAGATTTTATATTACTATTCAAAGCATAGACACATAGCAAAGTGTCTGACACTGTCTTTCAATTCAAAGAGTGCAAGTGAGTTGAACCATAAAATGGTTCCAATTAAAATAGTGCATGTTAGAAACTCTGAGATGAGTCTGAACAGTGTGTGATTGTTGTTTTTTTTTCTTGCATTCCCCACATTCTACAATGCATTCCTCTTTTTGCGCTTCTTGAACTTTTGTTTTACCTCTAGTATCCTTCTAAAACATCAATAATCATTCTACTCTGCGAATTCAGAAAGATTTAAGTATTTATTTTGGTACAATAGCCAAAGAAGTCTAGAAGAAATCATCTGGCTAGCACTCAGCAATGTTTCCTGGATGATCATGTTGAGCTTTAAAGCACTGTACCACACAGAAAGTCTGATCTGCTGATCTTATAGTGATGTTTTTCATTTCCCAATGGGACTCTCAATCTTTAATGTCAATCTTTTCCTTATATTTTGAGGATTTTTATATGGCTTTTTGGTTTGGTTTTTTTTTGTTTTTGTTTTTTTTTGTTTGTTTGTTTGTTTGTTTTTCTGAAAGCATTTATGATACAAACATAACTACATAAAGGTTTTATAGTACTACCTGAACATTGCTTCTAATTTCTAGAGAGAAATAAAGAGGGGAAAAAATGTCTATTAATTTAAAAGAAGAGTAATGATTTGCTCACATTTCAGTATAAGCCTGTCTATTGTATTTGTGAAACATGCTTGAAAAGGCAAAAGCTGAAATTACAGTCATATCATCAAAACAGACTGATTCATCATTTATATACAGCTAATTGCTTGCTACTTAACCCACTTTTTAGCTACATGTGCAGTCAGTTTCAATCTTTAAATGCTTTCTTGTTATTTCAGTAATATCAATTTGTTCCTCAATCAGAAGGGTGTTAATTCACTGGTCAGGAGTTAAAAATAGGAAAATAGTCATTGGCAGCAGGCAGATTTCTTCCTTCCTTCCATTTGAGCAGACTCCAAATGATTAATCAAAACTAAGGATTTCATATGAACAGGAATTTTTCTGTAGTTGAGGAATCCATGTTATTTAACTCAATGCATGGACTTTGTGAAATGTCATTTGCCACTATTATCTATTATTTATCCAGCAGCACCCCTGAATGAACTAACTCACAATTTGCTTTAACTTGTGCCACCAGAGCTTGTAGTCGAAGTGGAAAGATTCAAGCCTTCTTTTATTCAGGTAAGGAAAGTTTATTTCTTGTATGGTTACAGAGCGTTGGTTCTTCTTCTGTGCAGTATAATCACAGACATCTTTTACTACCATGACCATGAAGTGAACTTGCATCCACTTCTAAAGGATTCCAGGCTCTTGCAGCTTGAACATGAAATTACTGCTTCTGCAGCTCTTTAAGATTATCCTATGAATTTCCTTCTATTATCTTACAGTGTATTTTAAAGCCATTTGGGATAGTTTGGCAGCTACTAATACATTGCTCTCAAAGCCAAATGAGTTTCATTTGTTAGTAGAGTTTGCTGAAGACTTGGCCTCTTCTCATTCCTGCAAAGGAAGACACTGAGCATTCAGCTATGTGATTTTGTAACTCTTCACTTGACAGTTTCAAATATTTGTTTCTGAGTTGCTTGGCCGTTTAAAACTCTCAACTCCTGAATAAAAAATTGAGCGAAACAAACTAACATGTCAGGTTGTACCTCAGCACTGCCAATCTAGAATAATCATATTGCCAATATTTGAAGTTCTGGATGGGCAGTAGGGACATTTAGATGAACAAGCCCATTGTGAGTAACTTGTCTGCTCTCTAGAGAAGTTGTATGCTCGTAAAGGCAAACAGCCTGTGAGTGTATTTCTGGAGAATTATGATTCTGTGTTTCAGGAAGTCTGTTTCCCATCTGTGACCTACCTACAGTTTAATAGAGCATCAGTTTATGTCTCTCTGTGAAACTTTGGTGAGGTAAAGGTTCAAATACCTCTTGAGAATTTGACTTGGGCAGCAAAAACCTCTACAGGCATGTGGGCCAGGGGGCAGAGGCTGAAGAAGTCGTTGCTTACTTTCATCTTTCTGCTCAAAATTTGCTCATGAGCACTGTCAGCATTTGTTCTTAATGAGCCTATACCTGCCTTGGAGTGGGAAGACATGCTGGGTGGAAAGCCACCGGCATGAGCACTCCAACTGAGCACTGAGCCTGGCTTTGTACACCACAATCCTTCGAAGAGCACCTGAATTGCAGTTTGAATGTCTGTGGTCCCTCAGGGGTTCTGATTCATGCAGTGTGAAAATGAAAGATGAGTTTTATAAGTACAGGTTGATTCTTCAAGGAGCACGAGGGTCAGTTTCACAGTGCTGCATGCCACCACTTCAGTAAATCACTGTGGTTTCCAAGGGCCTCCAGCTGTGTTGAGATATTCTGTTGCCTCTCCTGGTATATTACTGGAGAGAAAGGCAGCATCTTACACAAGGACTGTGATCCTGTATTGTCACAGCTCAGACTGACTATATGAAAGAACCTCTGGAATTGAAAACTTTTCAAACCAAATCTCTAGCCCTCTCTGGATTGGTGTGGCCTGAAGTTGTAGGCTGGAATAGTGAGGAATTGATCTTGTTTGCAAAAGACAGGATTACTGTTTTTCCATTTCTGAAAATTAATAAATGAAGTTAGTTGCCACATACTAAGATGTTTCTTTTAATTTATTTCACTGAGCCCTGACAATAGCACCTGACACTTAAAATTTTTGTGCTTTAATAGTCAAAACTTGCAGAAATCAACAGAATATTTTAAACAAAGAGGCGATTGTTTTTAAAGGCAGTAGATGCACAGTAGCAATAGTTTCCATGTCTCTGTCTCTTGTGTTAATGTAAAATCTAATTTTCTAACTTTAAATCCGTTTTGCCTCTTTAATCTCTGTAAAATTTCTAGTGTTGACCTCTACTTCTTGCGTAATTAGTGCTAATGAAAATCTTAAATGCCTCATTGAATTGGAAAGCTATTAAATACATGTCATTCAGCCTCAACTCTGAATTCCCCATTGTCTTTGATGCACTTTTCCTTATAGTGACGAGCTATGAGTGTTAACATACTGTCTGCATTGGAGAATCAACTGAGCTACTGACTACAGGTGGAGGTTGAATAAAAACTTCATCCAAAATTGCCCATTGGATCTTCATTTGTTAGTAATATGCTAGCAAAGGCAAGATTTTCTGGAAAAAGGGAAGAAAAATGCAACTGATCTTTTATCCTCTTTCTCCCTTTTCCACAACCAGCATAGCCTTTTAGAGCTTAACATGTTTAAGTCTGATCTGGGTAAGGGCTATATCTAAGGAGTGAGAAGCAAATAAAACATAAGTAAGATGTGCAAGCAACATTTTCATGAAGCTGCCTTCATTTCAGTGATTTTGGCAGGGCTAAATCAGTATGAGACGTGGCCCAAAACATTTTCTTAAGCATTACTGCTTTGGAATTGGAGCAAACTACAGACTTGTTCTGCAGAAAATTAAGACTTGAGTCTTGGGTCTGTATCCAAAAGTTTTAGCTTGTTTTGCCTTTTATTAAATGGATGTTCAGACATTATCTCCAAGCTCCAAAGCTGAGTGAAAGAGTTGTCTGTGGTTAAGGCATTTATGTGTGGCCTTCAAGAGCCTGTTCTGCCACTCTACAGATGTTGAATGTGACCTTTGCTATGCTACTCCTTCTCTCTGTACCTCAGTTTCCCATTCATTTAAGATTATTCTTCACTGCTTCTGGGAATACTGTAAGGATGAATAAGTTTAGACAGGTGTGTGAGCTTTTCTGAATGGTGCTATTAAAAAAAAAGAGTTGAGAGCTGGTAGTTGGAAGAGACTGTTATGGTACAAAAGAAAAACCCTTACTTCATTTTTCGCCCACTTGGGGAGGTTTTTTTTTTTTGACTCTCATAAAATATGACTGGTTTTTGAGCATGACTCCTGCTGTTGCTAAAACACTTTATTCTTAGTCTGATTCCCAAATGAAAAGATAGGAATGATGATGACCAATGAGTGTTACTGGTCTCATATGTAGCTGAAAGAATGAGTGGAAGATAAGAAAATGGCTGAAGCTATGAGAACTGATTCTCATAGATTCTCCAAGAAGCGGGCAGGTGGAGAGTGTAAACCTCTTCCCTTTCAAGTAATAGAAATGAAAAATCATGAATGTCTGTAGAAGTAAAGCCTCCTGTTGTTTTTTTCTTTTTTTGAAGGAAAAAAGTGCCTCAGGAAGGATTTGCTGAGGAACTTGCTTTCAATTTAACTGCGTGACCAGACAAGATCAAAGGAAATTAGCTGGGACAGGAGGGAGACAAACAGACAGAATGTCTGACTGACTCCACGATTTAGAGAAAAATTATAAACTGTAAGAGAAATACTGAGGACATCTCTGAAGACTGTGCCATAAACCCAAGGATGCTCCACTTTGTTGAGGAAACAGAAACAGATGTGCTGATTTTATTGATCCGCAGCCTAATATCTCACATACATATAAGAGTCTTTTCTTGAAGACACCTTCACAGAGATAGTTTGGATCCCTTGACTCTCATTTTGCCCTGAAGAATTGTTTCTAAGCCTGGGGTACACAGAAGTGCAAGGCCTGGCTTTGGGGTGTGTAAGCCTCAGGCGTGGAATCAGTTGTAGCTGGATCATTGGGGCCCCACATAGTAACTCTGATCCAATTTCCATGAAGGCAGCATTACCCATGAGGGGTAGGTGGCAGGCTCTGGGAGGACTGTGGACACCAAAAACAGGGCACATTAATCCACGAGAGAGCAATATTGTATGCTGGAACAGGCTGAGGCACATATCGGGTGATGGCAGCAGCAGTTCTCCCTGTGTGGTGGGATGCCAGGGCACCTTGTGTCATGCTTTTACTGCACAGCAACCCCTGGATCTAATTCAGTTTTGTCTGGCTCTTTGGAGGAAACAGTCCTTCTAACTCTGGCTGGCCACACACTTCTTGCTCTCATCTGACTCGTCTGCCACCTCACCGCTGCTGGGTTCTCCAGCCCCATGAATTCCACTGTATGGACTGCAATGTGTTCTTCATTCGAGAATCTCAATTTTTTTTGGAAAAGAAATGCATTTTTGGCCTCTGTGGCTTCAGAAAAAAATCTTAAATATGTGAACTTTCCATAATGTGAAAGAGGGTGGACAAATAAAAAGAGCCAAGATTTATTATTTTTGAGTCCAAGGCATACTTTTTAGTGTAACTTAGAAATTTTGAACCTTGACTTCTTCTTTTCTTTTCTTTTTTTTTTTTTTTTTTTTTTTTAGGCAATAGTAACACTATAGAAAAAGAGAGAAGAGGCCCTCTGCATCTGTATGTGTATCTGGAGCTGTATCGTGGAAGTGAAAGGGATTATTTCTGGTAAATAAAGTGTGCACTTCTGGCATCTGGATTTTGGGAGAGTTTCTAATCTCAAATTTCCTTTGTGTCAGCTCATGTAACCAGAATTACTAGAATCTCATCCCTCTTATCCCAACCTTCTGTTTGTCATCCATATAGAACTCTGAAATTCCAAACAGGCTGGTGTGAGAACACTGTGCAAGTCCTCTGGTTGCATGAAAATCTTTTTATTTGTGGGATTTTTTGTCTTTTCTGATCAGGTGCACAGCACAAGCCTGGTTCCCACAGCTGAGAGGAAGCTGTTTCTTGGTGTTCACTCTCCTGGGCAGCAATTACAATTTGTCAGGAATGCAGTTTATTTTGTAATTCAGCATTTCCCCATAGCACAATTGTGTAACACCTATGCAAATATTTGTTCCTATTAAGCTGTTGGAAAAAATAAAACATGGTGGCGTTCAGAACAGTTGCAGCCTAAGGTAGTTATAGGAACAAACCTTTTCTTCCATTGTCCTTGAACCTGGTCCAGCTGTGATTGAAATTGTCAGTATGACTCCCACTGACTTCTGTAGGAATAATTCCAGACCTTAAATACTTGTAGTTCCTGGCAGGTGCTATATTGGCAGTGGTCATCTATTTACATATTCACATGGAATATTAGAGATAAAACAGGGCTGTCTTCATTGCTTAAGTACAAATCTTGAGGGACAACAGCTGGACATCAAATGGACATCGGTTGCTGTGCTGCTGCAATCACTGGTTTCTCTGATCAAATGCTGTTAATGGAACCAAAGTATTGTTTTTATTTTTATTTTTTCTTCTGATTAATTCTGTATTTTATCCATTTATAGTGTTAGGCTAAGGTAATTAACATCATCTCCTACCCACTCTCAAGCAATCATGAGGTAAGAAGAGGTTAATGTGACAGATCCAGCAGCAGTGCTTTTTGCTTTCTGGGTCTTACTGAAGTCTTTAAGAGTAAACACTTAGAGCAAGCAAAATATGTGATATTTGTTACTTGCGGTCCAGGGACCCTGAGGCTGGCCAGACACAATGAGGGGTCGTAAAGTGGTTTCTTCCTTTCTATGTAAATATGGAAGGGGCTGATCTTTGTGTAGTTTGGGCTTGGGTGTGTTATTTTTAGATTTCAGGACTTTCTGAAAAATAATGAGGACAAAGTGTCCCAGGGAGAAAAGCAATGTTGGTTTGTTTGGTGTTTTTTTTAAAGGAACAGAGAGGATTTCACATGATCATTGGGCAGTTGTAGTATTATGAAAAACAGCAATAAAAAGAAAGAAAACAGGAATGTAGAGAAAGCAGCTGCAACTTTTCCCCCACATTCTTTTATTATTTCATTTGGAGGGAAAAAAAGACCAGGATAAGAAATAATGCAGGAAGTATTTTTTTTATTGAATGTTCATAGTCTGATAGTAAAGAATGAGGTGATTATTAAAATGTAGGCTTTCGTATATGGAAATTAGGTGATCGTATGTCTATCCCCACCAGGATGCAATGTGGTTGAAATGACTGTCAAACTATTTACTCAGTGATAGCTCTTACTTAAGCTGCCTCTGGTAGAGAACTCCATGCATTACATCCCTCAGGCTGCCACACGGTACATGAAAAAAACAGGTGGAAATGCAGACTCAAAGAAAATATAAATAAAATAAATTTTTATGAAGACTGTAGGATGTAAGCTCATGTTTTGGGTGGATTGCATGAAATATCTGAAATGTATTTTGGTAAATAATTCAACGTAATTCATTTAACTGGAAAAAAATATAATTGATCACTTCATTTTTTGCAGAGTAGAATCATGGATCAGTAAGGTTGGGAAAGACCTCCAAGATCATCCAATCCAACCATCCAGATATCACCAATATTTTCCACTAACCCAAGTCCCTCAGTACAAAATCTAAATTTCTTTTGAACACCTCCAGGGTCAGTGACTCCACCACCTCCCTGGGCAGCCCGTTTCAGCACCTGACCACTCTCTTGAAGGATTTCCTAACATGCAACCTGAATCTCCCCCGGCGCAACTTGAGGCCAAGCATCTGTTCATTTACATGAAGTTTTAGATTTTAAGAGTGGCTCCCATTTATTTTGCCCCGCATAGAATGGTAGGTTGCTTTAGCTTTACTGCAACCCCTTTGCCTTTTTGAAGTCATTATTTGGTTCAAGTCAAGAAAACTGCAATTTGAAAATAAAATAAATAGTAGCTTATATTTCATTACAATTAAAAAAAAAAATTGTCATGATAACACTGTTCATGCAGTTGCATTCCATAAATTGCTTTTTTTTTTTTTTTTTTTAGCACAGTTATTTAACTACACTTTTCCTGGTGCCAATGTTGAGAAGAAGTGAAGCTGAGTGAGTATGTTAAATGAGACTATCAAGAAGTTACAGAGTCACATTCAATGAATCTGCAGACAGAAACTGTACTATCTGAGAAATACTCTTTGTCCTATAAAGGAAAAAGTGCCAGGTAGTCCATATAATAATTTTGATTTACAGTATTTTAACTTCTGAATAGTGTTGTGTTATAATGCTCTAGAAGGTAGACACAAATGGTATTCTGAAATGAAAGAGGAACAGAGTCTGTAGTGCCTGTTAAATGTAATCTTAAACTTGACTATATGCAAAATAACTAACCCGGAAAAATATTTAAAAAACAAAATAACTACTATCACCTAATATTTATACATTGTTATAGTGGTTAATAATGTTTTGCAATAATGTATGTGCATCTCTGTCTTTTCAGAAATATCCTGATTGCAGGAATGATACATGTAACGCGTAGAAACTCTCATCACTTGAAGAGTCCATTATGGAATTATATCTTTACATCTTTAACTCATGTGCAAAACTAATATGAAGAATGTTCGTGCTGCAGTTGGTTGAGAAGAACAATGCAATAGTAAGTCAAAAAGCTTTTTTTTTTTTTTTTAATCCACTGATGCTTTATTCTATCTGAACTCATCACTAGGAGACATCAAAAATCTTTACAAATTGAGTTACGGAAGTAACATGATAGGGATGTGCATAGAAATCTAAGCCTTCATTTACTTATTTTTAATTAGTAAGTGCTCTGTGTAGTCCAGTGAAACAAACATGCTTGCTAGAGTTTCTCCATTTAAAATGCTTTACGAGCAAAGTTCAGGTTTTGAAGCATTTAAGTCAATGTAATTGCCTTTGACGTCTGCTGCTTTTCATATTTTTCTCTCCAAGGTGTATTTCTCATTTTTGCTGCCTCACTCTCCCTGTGTATCTGATCTCTTTCACCTTCAGATTATCTTAGTACTTCCAGCCTTCACCTCGTCAGTAAAGCTTCAATGGACAATACTGTTTGAATCAGAAATTTAACACCACCACACCATGAAGGGCATCATCAGGTCTAACTGCACTCATAGGACAATCATGTAGATATCCACACGAGCTTTAAACTGGCTAGGTTCAGTAGCAGTGCAGGTCTAGACCACCATATGAATCAGCATGTGTTCCTGTAACCTAGTAAGAAAGTTCTGCAGATTAGATGCACACAAAGTCTTGCAAGACCTTCTTCAGTGGGAAGTTACACTGTCCAGTAGTTTTGAGGATCCTAGATCAGGATCCTGGATTGAGGATCCTAAATGAGGATCCTGCCTTAGATCAGGATACTCAGGTTTAGGTCACTGCTGACTGAAAAACTTAATCTTTTAACATATCTGATACAAAATTAATTATACACTTTTATGTATGTGTTTTCTTTACGCTGTGTTTGGAACCAGAATGGCTTTCCTTCTCTTCCAGTTAGTTGAGGTCTTCTGTGCCAGAGGAGCTTTTGATTATGATCTGGATTCACAATTCATGTAAGTGTGGAGATTAATTAAGTGAAGAAGGCATACCCCAGACATTTATAATTAACGCTTCAGTCGGGTATAAACCAGGGCTCCAAAGATGAAAGCTTAATGCTTGAATGATTTACTGAATCACACATTCCCTTTCAGCCACTGTTTTAAGGGCATGGTCTTTGCCAGCTCCACGCACATACTTTGAGAATTATTCACTTCGGAGCTTCTTGCATGATCAATTTTGCAGTATTTTTTTCCTAAGTGCCTTGGTACATGCTCATGTTTAATTCTTCAAACTTGTATCAATTCATCAGACCTGATTAAACTTTTTAGACCTGCAAGTAGATTCTTTGCATATTGAAGAATTTAATCTCATATCTAACTGTTTCTACCTCCAGGGTTCCTCAAATGAAAGTTATTCTCCATAATCTTTTCAGATGCTTTTTAAATACATTCTGGAAAACTATGATGACTTTAGGGGGCATCTAAATAAGATGGGGAAATTTACTCTGAGCCTTAATTTTTCTACCAGAAGGTGGACAAGCTTTTCCATTTCAAACTTTGAAGAACTTAGGTTTTTTGCCTTCTCAATTTCAGAGAGAATATTTGGAATCTGATCCAATACTCCCTAAATCTAAAAGAACTGTGGGTAAGAAGGGAAGCCTGTATGGCTAAAAGCAAGCTAAAGGGGTCATTAGGAGTAAAAAGACATTGTTCAGTAAGTGGAAATCCAAATGAAGAACATAGAAAAAATATAAAGCTTCTGGCAATCTAAATTTGAAGCCAAATTAAAACTAGACAAAAAAGATTCTGAGGAGCAAGGGTGTAAGACGTGATAATAAAAACTTTTTTCAAGTACATCAGAAACAGGAAGTTTGCCAGCAAATTGATGGAGCCAATATATTACTGGAATGAAAAAAGACCACTTTAGAAGTATAGGTCTTTAGCAAAAAGGAGCACAAGTATCACAAGCACAGATGTTCATTATGGAGTTAAGTTTCCCTGTTGGAGTCATACTTTGTTGAGGTCTGCCATGAGAAGCTAGATATTCCTTAAGGTCACTGCCAACCCAAACCTTTTAATGATTCTGTTCTGTTTAGTGGTTTGATAGTAACGGAGATGAGAATTAATCAAAGGGATAAGGGCTACAGTGGAAATGAGCAACTTGCACAAAAACTCTAAGGAATCTCAAAGAGTAGTCAACTATTCTTGTATCTCTGCACTTAAGATAGCCTGTTTTAGGGGTGTATGACAACCTGTGTGTGATACTGCTTTTATGAAAGTCTTTTGGACAATCAGGAAAGAACAGATTTGAAGACGACTTCCATACTCCTATAATCCTCCCTTAATGTAGTAAAAGCAAGGCAACAAAAAGAAACAAACCTAAGCTTATCAGAGAGCAAAAGAGATCAAGTTTGAGGCCCTTCTATTTTTTACAGGTAATTTAAATAAGGCAAAGAGCGAGTTCTGGGAGGTCATTTGTTGATGACGCTTACTGTGATATTAGATGTATACTCATTTTGCATATAAGAACGAAGTTCTTTGAAAATATTCTGCATAGTTACTTAGATGCCATTGCATTTGAATGTTTTTCATTCTTTTTAACGTAGCTCTGTGCTATGTATGGAAAAGTTCTGTTTCCTGTATGCTTCAAGGCAGTTTACTTTCAAACTGTGGTAAGCTCTCAACCTGAAATGTAAGGTCATGAGGGAGGAAAGATTATTACAGAAGATAAACTAATTAATAGCTTTCAATAATTTGGTTAAGTTAAAAGATACATGTAGGGATCTACTTCCAAATAGCAAAGGATGAACCAAAAATACACATTAGTAAGACAGTACTATGTCTAGTTTTTTTTTTTTACGGCAAAACAATTATTCCTATGTAATTGTTTCAAATTCAATTTAAAACTAATACTGTTTTTTTCTTATCATTGCTTGGCTTTTGACAGGAAACTGCCTTCTATTCTAGTTTAAAGCCTTACCAGACCCTGAGTCTAAATCAGTCTCATGCACTGCACAGTTGGGATAAAGAGTGAAAGGGAGGAAGTAATAGTACCTGAAAATCAAATGGGGACTGTGAGACATTTGGTTGTTCATATGTCTGGAAGAAAAGCTGGTGTTCCCACTTCCCTGTAGAACTGGTCTGGCTGATTTGAGAGACAGGCCTCAGCTCTGTTCCCCATCCCCGGTACTCAAGGGAAAAATAAGGATAAAGTTTATTGTAAGTGATATTTTTGGTTAATACGTACAACGGCCACCTGGTCCCTGCCTGATCGCCAGCACAAACCAGAGCAGCCAGTTCATATCCCATTTCCCCTGCTCCTTCTGGAGCTCTGGAAAGTAACAAAAAAAAGGGTAGAGCTGTGCACATCATCTTTTCTTCAATTCCTCTTCTATTCCTCAGTTCAAAATCTGCCATCAGTGTTGGGGCATGAAGCATAACTGAGGAAAGAGATGCTTTTCTGCCTATCTTGTGCCTCCTAAGGGGCTTTTGCATAGAATATAGTTTAATGTGGCCATTTCTGCCTTCTTTTTCATAATCAGTGATATAAACAGACTATACACAAACTATCCTCTGACCTATAACTTGGGAAGATCTATGTTGGTAGAGCTGCATTCAATAATAGCCCAGTCAAAGCTCTGACTACTGTGCAATAAAATTCTTTTTATCCGTGCCATACTATGCTGTGGCTCAGAAGTATTTTGAATGTCAAGATGTTGCCAAAGATGCCTGTTGATATAAAGCAGATGCGCGCTTTTCATTCCATCACATGTTGTCTACATGAGATGGTGTTGATATTTATATATTGACTTATGACTTTCTTTCTGAGTTTGGACTTGGTTTTATTTGCAATGCTTGAGTCTCCCTGTAGTCCCCAGCTATGGGGTAGTGTCTTCAGTGCTCAAGCTTTGACAGGGCTATCTGAATGTATAGGAAATCTCTGTAAGAAATGGTGAATGGGAATCCAGTGGTATGTAACAGGATCTCAGGCTTTTACTTACAATCCCCTAACACACATTATATAATATGTCTTCTGGTTGGTTGATTGGTTGTGAATTTGGGGTTTTTTGTTTGTTTTTGTTGACATTTTTCACATTTTGTATTTCTGTGCTCATTATGATGAGTATCATATAGAGTCATTTAACTCTATATAGAGTATCCATAGAGTTCAGATAAGCTGTCATGTCCTTTCTAATAATGTGAACAGCTGCCTTCAGTTTCCTTTGCTTGGATACAAAACTTTAATCCAGGTGCTATGGGAGCCAGAATTGCCAATGGCCAGACAGATACTTGAAAATACAACTAGAGGGATTAACTCGCCTACCTGAGATTACCATCAGCATATATTACTGACTTTTTTTTATGAAATATTTTGTCATATTTAAAAAAATAAAATGTATATTAAAAAGTAGGTTCTGTCCAGTACACTTCAGATACTCATTTTTCATTTATGAAAACCATACCTATCCAGACTAATGATGTTCCTTGCTCTTATCCGTATTTGCTACTTCTGATTTTATGTCTAATTTGTAATTGTTAACACTCTGAGATAGACCTTCTTATAATACCTTTTAGCTCAAAGATAACAGTGAATTTACCCCCATTGCTTCAGATGCCACCCCACAAAATCTTCAAATGCTGTTTCAAATGGGCAAGGCAAATTAGATAATTAGATGTTCTGCCTTTTACTGTTCTGGGGAGAAATCTTGTATGCCAATAGGGAAATAAATAAATAAATAAATAGATAAATTTTTAAAAATGAAGAGAGAGGGGAAAAAAAAAGAAAAAAAAAATAAAGAAAAAGGAAAGAGAAACAAAAAGCTCCCTCCCCTCCCCGCCGCCGCAGAGCAGGAGGAACGCAGGCGCGGCCCCGGCTCCGCTCGAGCGGTCAGGCAGCGCCGCTGCGCGGCTCCCGGCCGTTGCCTGCAGCGCTCTAAGCTCGGCTCGGCTCCTGGAGGCTCGCAGAGAGCTGTTGCTGCAACGCCCTGTAAAGTTTCTTACCTCTTCTGCTGGAAGCAGAATCCCTTTTAAACGCAGCGTCGTCTTTCCTCCAGAATGGGTGGGTGGCTGATCCTCAGGGAAG